CTTCAAGCATTTTAAGACCCCAGATGCTATGTCTTTTTGATACCAGGCACCATCAGCTTTCTTCACCACATTTGCTTATGCACCCATTTTGTCTTCAGCGATCATGTCGGGAAGGTTTGCATCACAGAATGCCAGGTTAATAGAGCAAAGTGTTGTTGCATTGAGGGAGGACTTGAGTATAGGCCCAATGTCCATCTGCTACCTTAATACTTAACCTGTACATATATGTACATAGACCTATATCCTATCATTATATATTAATATATTTACATATGTACATGCCTATGATTATTTCTGTATAAATATCTTTTGCCTTCCAATTCTTTCTTGTTTTTCCTTTTACTTTCCTCCTGTCCCACTATCATGTTAGACTTTCATTCGACTCTCTGTACTTCCCCTTGGCTACATTGCGCTAGATCGAACCCCACCATCCATACTTTCAATGACTCCCTTGTGTATGATGCTTTTTATCCAGTGTATAATACCTGCCCATTAATAATTTGACTTTCAAAATATCATTTACCAAGCCAATGACTGTGCAGTCAGAACTCTGGGACTCTTTGAAACATGAAGGGCCCATGTTTGTTTTGCACCTGAATGCTACAAACTGACTCATAATCCAGCACTTCTTATTATACAGCGTTCTCTGATATTCAATGAAATGACTGATTTACATAGCTTACAAGTTCCCAAAATTTGTTACCAGGGTTATTTGTAACAGTCTGTCACATTATTCTACCTACTTCTGTTCTAAAAAAGCTTTTATTTGGTATATGTGTATAAACTACAGTACACCAGAAGAAAGTGTGAGTTCTCTTATTTATCACTGCAGCACGTGATAAATCAATTTCTTTTCTCTTTGCTTCTTAGGTTCATACCAGATGATGTTACTTTTGATGAGGAGCCCACGGAAGTAGCCTCAGAAGTGGATTTAACAGCATATAAACCGAAGTATTTCACATCTGCTGCAATGGGAACATCAACGGTACTTCTTAAAAATGTGTAGCCGTACTCTGTTGCTTTAAAAAGTGACTTTGCATATTTGTTACTCATCACAACTTTAGATATAGAAAGTATTTAAAGTTTTAATGGACCAAGTGCAAATGAAATTGAGATGCAAGTGTCTTTGGATGTAGCTACCTCATTTGTTTAAACCCATTTTCACGTTGTTGTTATACCTTTAAGCATGAGTCAGTTATTTTCTGTTGTTTCTTTTTCCTATTTATCTTTCCCACATATTCTTCTCTGGGTAACACACTGGTTAGCACTTATTGAATACTTGGAAATTTGAACCTACCAGCGGTTCTTCAGTAGAAAGATGTGGCTGACTGCTTCCATAACAATCTTAGAAACTCTATGGAGGCAATTCTGTTCGGCCCTGTAAGTTCTCTCAGTCTAAATTGGCTGGGTAGCAATGGGTCCTTGAATAAGAAATATATTAATTCTGGATATTCTAAGGGATAAAGAAATAGAGGTAACAGATTACCTCAAATCGATTAAAACTATTATAAATTTAATGTAAAACAGTAATATATTTCTCAGCAGATATGATCCGAAATTGTAGAAACAATAGAGTACATTAATTGAGGACTACTAGAGATCACTTTAATGTTTAACAACAAACAGCCAAACTTTAATATAGTTTATGACTTCATAAACTAGCTTTTTTTCTTCTCCCGTGTAATTTTTACTCACAGCTGTATTCTGCAGTATCCACTTGGGCTTGCTGGTCTGACTCAGGTTTTCTATGTTCTTCTCATAAGGACCTTGTGGCAGAGGGAGCACTGTTCCTACTGTTAACTGTATACTGTGGTAGTCATTTGGCCTTGATCGTCATGCATCAAGTCCAGAAAAATCATGTTCATAAACTGTAGGCTCATAGTTTCTTGTTATTTTTTTAAGATTAAAAATGACGAGTAGAAACCTACAACTAGCCAGTGTGTAGTCTGAATGCATGATCCAAACTTCTCCAGCAGTGGCTTGTGCCCAGTAACTTAGGCTTACTGGTTAAAATAGGGGTGATTCTGAGTCCTGTGACTGGCTAGTTCTTTTAGGACAGTGGTAACTATCAATTAATTGATACACCCATCTTTTGTCTTGAGCTGGGTAGATTGGCCTGAGGGAGGGAAAGAAAGGACCTGCTTTGTGATGAAGGTAAAACCCCTAGCAGAGCTCCCTAGAGCTCTCCCTAAGAGAATGGTGGCTAATTGCAAGCAAGAGCAAATCAACAGACCTATCATGCTTTGGGGGAATTCATGTTATACATGGCTGATTACTCCACTTCCAAACAATAAATGTGTTTCTCATCAATGATTCTTAATCTTTTTCTGAAAACTGGATACCACTGAAGTTATGTTGAAACCGTAAAACCAAACTCACTGCCATCCAGTCAGTTCTGACTCCTGGTGACCTGAAAAGACAGGGTAGAACTGTCCCTGGGGGCTTCCAAGAGTCCCACTCTTTAGGAGAGTGGAAAGCATCATGTTGCTCCAGAAGAGCGGATGGTGGTTTCAAGCTGCTGTCATTGCAGATCGCAGCTTAGCACGTAACCACTGTGCAACCAAGCCTAGATTTCACGTATTTTGTAGACCTTGTGAAATACCCAGAACTCCAAGTAAAAATGTGCTGATTCATAATAATGTTAATATTTTCAACAATACATTTTCCTTTTTTTTAAACCAGTTATCGATGAATTTTTATTCTCAGTAATGTAATACCCTGCTTGTAACTAAAAGACCAAACTCACTGCCATCGAGTTGATTCCAGTTCACAGTGACCCTATAGAATGGAATAGAACTGCCCCTGTGGGGCTCCAAGGCTGTAACTCTTCACAGGAGAGCAGAAAGCCTCAGGTTTTTTTCATGTGGAGCAGCTGGGTTTTTTCGAACTACTGGTGACATTAGCCCAACCTGGAACCTATTATGCCACCAGGGCTCCTGACCTTGCCTATAGCAGAGAGAGAAAAGAAGGAGGTGCTGGTTGTTAAGTGTCTCTTTCCACAAATAAGTGGGCATTGTCACTTAGATAGCTATACTGGATGTCCTTTTAAAAATTTTACTGGTAAACTTCCAAGGAAGCCCTGGTGGCATATTATGTTACATGTTGGGCTGCTAACCAGAAGATTGGCAGTTTGGAACCAGCAGCTGCTGCTTGGGAGAAAGACAAGGCTTTCTCCTCCAGTGAAGCATTACAATCTCAGGTGTAACTCTTTGCAGGAGTAGAACTTTGTCTTTCTCCCCCAGAGCAGCTGGTAGTTTTGAACTGCTGACCTTGCAATTAGCACTCCAACACGTAACCACTTCACCACCAAAACTCACTTTCTTTCATCTAGAGGGCATTTATTTAATTTGATAGAGCCCAAAGGGCTCAAATATTGAAATAGTAATTTCCATGTGCCGGTCGTATGAGCTTCTGTTGGCACTGTGAATTAGGCATCTGAGTCAGAGTCGACTTGATGGCCATGGATTTATTTGTTGGTTGCCATCAGTATTACTGGTCTATATTACCAGAATTACGGTGAAATCATGTAGAAGGGAGTAGTGATGGTAGTTGCTCACCGTAATGAATCTAGTCAACCTCACTGAGTCATACTTGTAAAAAACGTTGAATTGTTAAAGGTTTTGCTGTGTTTGTTCTTGTGAAAATATGACAGTAAAGAAGGGAGGGAAGTTATAATCTCAGAAACCCCACAGAGCAGCTCTCATTGTTAGTTGGAAGCAAATTGATGGGAGTGAGTTTGTTTGTTATTTGGTAAATATCCAAGTAACAATATGTGTTTTTTTAACAAGTTTGGCTTGTTGACATCTGTTCTTAATGATTTTTTTCTTTTTCATTGGTGAAAGGTGGAGATCACTTGGGATGAGACAGATCATGAAAGAATTACAGTACTTAACAGGAAATTTAAAAAGGAAGAGCTTTTGGATATGGATTTTCAAGCCTACTTAGCTAGCTCCAGTGAAGATGAAGAGAGTATAGGGGAAGAGCTACAAGGTACGGGTTAATCTTTGGCCTTTTACATTTGTACACATTTAGATAACTAAGCAAGACTTCTTAACTAAGGTGTGAAGTATCCTTCGGGCTATTGCTTAAAGTGAAGAACCAAAGTTACTCTTTTTTTTCAAAGTTATTTTTAAACAACCTGCAAAGCATGCTTACATACACAGTGTCATATGCACCCTCAGACAGTACTTTAAGTTTTTGTTCAAAAATACTTTTTAGCCTAAATAAAGTCTAGATTGTCCTGATTTGTATGGTGCACAGTATCTTAACAAACAACTAAATGAGAGCTCCCTTTTCAATTGATTAAATATGTTTTACATTTCCTATTTTCTCTTTGTTGAAAGACTCACTTTCTTCCACTTAATGATTTTTAGCCCTTTGTTGAAGATTAGTTGCCTATAGGTGGGTGGGTTTATTTTTAGAGCTTATATTCTGTTCTATTGGTCTACATACCTATACCAGTGCCAGGCCGTTTTGACTGCTGTGAATGTGTAGTAGGGTTTGAAATCTGGCGGTGAGACAGCTGTTTCTCTTGACGGCACCCCACGTCGTCCCGAGACTCTCACCTGCTTCCTTTGCTCTTCTGGTTCATTGTCTCTCGTCAGTTAGAGTTAGAGGAATTGTCTTCAAGCTCACTGATCTGATTTTCCTTTTCTTCCATTCTATCACTCATGTCTTTTACCATATTGTCTGCATCTATTATCTTATTGTGTATCCTCTAGAATTCCCTTTAGTGTAGGGTTTCTATCTTTTAATTCCTTCCATTGTTCTCACGAGCATTCCCCACATCTCTTGAAAGCACCTGCATGCTGGTCATTCTGGGGCCTTTTTTTTTCCTTTGTTTTTTTTTTTCAGAATACTCCATTGTTTTGGGGCAGATTCAGTTGTTTGTTTGTTTTTCTTTATTTTGTGTGTGTGTGTGCTGTCATTAACTGCTGTTTCTGCAGCATTATAGTGAAGCTATTAGTGGTTTGAAGCCTGCTGGGTCATATGTAGATAGATGGCTCTGTAGAGTGGTGTGGCAGAGAGTCATTAGGATCCAGATAACTGTGATGAGATGGTGGAAAAGGTAGGTAAGGGGAAAAGAAGGGAGGAGACTAGAGAGAAATAAAAGAGGAAAAACAAAGTGAATAAGGAATTGTATATAGAGATCAAGCAATTTATTTCAAATCATGTGAATAAGGGGCAATGAAAATGAATAGGTATTGTGAAAATGTATTTTTAAAGTAAAAGGAAAGAATGAACAGAGAGTGGTAGGGAAAGAGAAAAATAAGAAAACAAGAAAAAATATATATGTTTAGCTTTATTTTATATGTATATATTTGCTTAGATGGAGTAGAAGTAGAATTTTTTTTTTTTAACATTTTATTAGGGGCTCATACAACTGTTATCCCAATCCATACACACATCAATTGTGTAAAGCGCATTTGTACATCGTTTCTCAAAACATTTTCTCTCCATTTAAACCCCTGACATTAGGTCCTCATTTTTCCCCTCCCTCCCCGCTACCCCCTCCCGCATAAGCCCTTGATAGTTTACAAATGGGTATTTTGTCATATCTTGCCCTGTCCGATGTCTCCCTTCATCCACTTTTCGGTTGTCTGTCCCCCAGGGAGGAGGCCACACACAGTTCCATGTAATCGGTTCCCTCTTTCCTACCCATTCTCCCTTTACCCTCCCTGTTTTGCCACTCACACCACTGGTCGTATAGGGCTCATCCATCCTGGATTCCCTGTATTTTCAGTTCCTATCTGCACCAGTGTACCTCCTCTGGTCTAGCCAGTCTTGCAAGATAGAATTCGAGTCATGGTAGTGGGAGTGGGGAGGAAACCTTTAGGAACTAGAGGAAGATTGTATTTCTCATCATTGTTACATCGCACCCTGACTGGCTCATCTCCTCCCCGAGACCCCTCTGCAAGGGGATCTCCAGTGGCCTACTAATGGGCTTTGGATCTCCACTCCGCACTCCCCCCATCATTCACTATGGTAAGATTTTTTGTTCTGATGATGCTTTACACCTGATGCCTTCGACACATCGTGGTTGCATAGGCTGGGGTGCTTCTTCCATGTGGGCTTTGTTGCTTCTGAGCTTGATGGCCGCTTGATTACCTTCAAGCCTTTAAGACCCCAGACGCTATACTTTTTGATAGCTGGGCACCATCAGCTTTCTTCACCACATTTGCTTATGCACCCATTTGTCTTCAGTGATCCGTTCGACACCCCGTGATCACACAGGTTGATATGTTGTTCCATGTGGGCTTTGTTGCTTCTGAGCTAGATAGCCGCTTGAATACCTTCAAGCTTTTAAGACCCCAGACGCTATATCTTTTGATAGCCGGGCACCATCAGCTTTCTTCACCACATTTGCTTATTCACCCGCTTTGTCTTCAGCGGTTGTGTCGGGAAGGTGAGCATCATAGAATGCCAATTTAATAGAAGAGAGTATTCTTGTGTTGAGGGAGTACTTGAGTGGAGGCCCAATGTCCTAGAAGTAGAATTTAAGGGGAAAAAAAAAGAAGAAAGATTCATTGGTTGGGGACAAGGGTCTGCTGGGGTAGGGGGTGTATGGGAAGATGTAGAGGGAAGAAAAATGTGGGGGGAATGAAGGGCAAAAGGAAGCACTGCTTGGATGGGGGGAGGGTGGTAAGCTAGATACAGTGAGAGAGAGAGAGAGAGAGTGTGTGTGTGTGTGTGTGTGTGTGTGTGTGTGTTTTGGGTGAGGGGACAGGGAAGTGGAGAAACAAAGAAGGAAAAATAATTGCAGGCGTGCTGCCACATGAGCATTGGCACCATCTACAGGGTCACTGGAGTTCCTTTCTTGGAAGTCTTACTTCGTGGTTTTTGCATCAAATTTTTTGGTTTTTATTGTGTCTAATTAGAGCATATATTCCTACGCTAGTGGTTGTTTTACTGTCTTTAAAAGACTACGTTTTGTTTTGTCAATTTCTAATTATTTGCGGTTTCAACTTTTCTGGGTTGACTTCTTTTATATGTGCAAGTTATTTCTGTTTTATGTACTTGTGTAGTTGATTAACTGTGTGTGTGCTGGTCTCTATATTGAAAATTTAATCTAGCAGTAGTTTTATAGCTGAGATAACTACGTTTCGTGAGTGATAGCATTTATTATTTTGTTCACTCTTAAGACAGCATTATTTCAAGCTTACAGCTCAAAGTCATTACTAAACCTCGTATAATTTTGCATGATTGGGATTTTTTCTCTTACATTAAAACAAAGATAAAAGCAAACAAGAAAATAAAGATGCATATGTATATGTTTAGATGAAGCAGAAGTAGAATTAAAGAGAAGGGAAGAAAAAAAGGAAAAATATATGAGTGATGCTGTTTGGTTTGACAGTAGCTTTACCTTCTGGATTATGCTTATCTTGAAAGTGATCCCATCCGCGTCCTTGCTTAATGTGGGATCCTAGTTGAAATCGCCTTCTACCCTTAGTTTGTGTTACCTTGGTCCAGTAGAGTTGCCAGAATTGCAATTGTAACACACAGTCTGTTCTTCTGTAACAGGAAATGGCATCACGGAAGAAAGAGATCTCAAATATTGGGAAAATCTTGCTGGTGCTCCTTTCTACCAATTTTAACTTGGCCACTCCTCACTAATTTATCAGTTCTTTGCAGCTTTTAAAAAAACTTGTCTTATCCAACTAGATGCCCATAGTGAAATAATTGGTATGGATTACTTAGCATCTCCTTAATGCGAGAATATTTCAAATGATCCTTTTAAAAATTTTTCTTTGATGATTGGACTGATTAATATTGTATCTTGGATTCATTACAAACAAACAAAAACCTACCCATCAGAGAAATGCAAATAAGAGCTATAATGCAATATCATTTCACCCTGGATATAATGGTACTCATTTTAAAAAAGAGAACAGAGGAAATGACATTTTAACTATCTGATAAGGAACTATTTAGGTACTTAGGTACTTTCAAAGACTTGAGAGAAAGATTGTTAAAGCTACACATGAAATCAAGGAAAACATAGACAAAACTCAAGAAGAATTCAGGAAAATACAATAAGCATAAATGGACAAAATAATTGAAAAAATATATAAACAACCTAAAAACAGCAAATATAATTCCAGAAAATTAATTCTAAGATTTCGCAGTTAGTAACATCATAAAAAAGACAAAGGAGTAGATTTGATGTAGTCGAAGATGAGTTAGTGAGATTAAGAAAACCCTAATGGCACACGTAAACCGTAGCCATCTCTAACCAGAGACCAGAGTAATTAAGTGTTGCAAGCTATGTAAACTTGGCTAAAAGCACTAAAAATTGTTCAGAATAATAGTAAATATTTTAAAATAAAGAAAAATATAAATAAAGTCATAAGCTAAAACATTTCCCCCCTTAATTCCACCCTCACTTGTTGACATGGTTAAGTTCTCAGACCAGACCGTTAGGCAAACTTCAGGTTAAGGAGGATGACTATGTTTATACATAACTTCTAGAACTCTGATACTCATGACTCAGTCAACTTGACACATAACCTTAACCATCACAGCCAGTGTTATTTGTTTCACATCTCTGTGTTTTTAACACCTACCAGTTATGTGTTATTAATGTGTAAAATAGATCATAGATATTTTACTATGGTCGTAAATTTGAAATATCAGGTAACAAAATTAGTTTCCCCTCTTCAGCTAGCTCTCTCAGGAAAGTTGATTAATGTCGCCTTTTGGTAGCTAGCGAGAAAGAGGAGGCTTTCTACTTCCACGAGGACCTATGGTCTTGGAAACCCACAGGGCAGTTCTCCCTGATTCTGTAGAGCCGCTATAAGTTGGCATCACGCATTGGCAGTGAGTTTGGTTTGGTTGACACTATCTGCATAAGCCATCTCATTTTTGTTTTTTGCTTTTCTAATGTAAAAAAAAGAAACAGATTGAGCAGTTACAAAAAGTTTAGTATTGACTTCCAAGAAAGAAATCATAAATTGTAAACAAAGATAAATATTTAAATTGGCAGAAATGAA